CTCATTATAGGGCATTAGACCTTAAAAGGACTACTCACTAATGATGCTACGTAATCACTTATATAATAAGCTCACATCGACGTAATAGTTTACCAATGTGGGACTCAACACATGCCAACAGAATCCAGGGTGCACAAAAAACTTAGTGTTATTGTATACTTTTGGGTGTATTGAGGATTCTCTATTGAGATTGGAGATCTATTAGAGGAGTAAGAGATTGCCTAAGAGTTATTGGAAGAGGCAATTGTCTCTTCAATTTGTAATCTTCTTGACATTAATAAATCATAGCCGTCATAGCCACTTGATGTAGCTTAGTTGGTGAACAACATTAGTTCTTGTCTTGGGATTGTCTTTGGTTTTAATAGACCTATTGTATGATGTGATGGTATGAATTTGGTCTGAAGCTTCTAACATCAAGACCTAGTCAAAGTAAAAATTGTATCATTGATGCATTCAAGTGTGTCCGATCCAATACAAGCCTAGTTTGAATACTTGGTGAAACTAATTTGAATTTGTAACTTCCAATTCACTAGAGCCTGACAATTCTTTGTGTTGGAAATTGTTAGAAATATGCCTTATAAGCCAATACGAAAATGAAAAACTTCTATGGACATAACACTACATAATTAATAGGGCATGAAAGTCACTTTAGGAAACTTAAACATAGGCAATAAAGTGACAAGTCTGTGGATTACGATACATATGGAAAGCATCTAAAGATGTTAGATTCATGAGACTTTTCCATTATGATATATCACATCCTAAAATGTTTCTAGTTATACAATCACCAATTGGGCAAATGGTGACCCATAAAGACTGTTACGCACTGTGTCTTCTCAATCAAGAGGATGACTAGTCCCAAGTCATCCGTATAGAGACACTAAGACAAGTGAGTAGATGCTCAATAGAGATAGAGTTCACTAATCGTGATCGACTAAGAATTCTTGTATGGTAGTTTTACTCACATGTGTCAAACAAGTAATTCTAAGTTATGATAATGCAAATTAGTCCTCAGAGACATCACAGTTGTCTTGTAGACAAGTGGTTTATCTTTGAGATCATTATACGGTCGTATTGAGAGATATGGCTTAAAGGTAATCATAGGGATATCTGATAAGCTCACAGAGACATGCAAATGTACAATATGGAATCTCCACTCTTAGTAAAAAGAGAGAGTACTCTAGAGATATGATTCATTGAATACTGGGCCAAAGTATTGGATAGGATTGCAATAGCAAAGTTTTCAATCTCCTCCAAGTGAATCATATGACCTAGAAATTTCACACTGGGGATTTAATACAAGTTAACCGTATCCCAATAATGTGACATAAAGTATTGTTATACATAATAAGCGGATTGCATTGCAAACTAACTAGGTTCTCTAATGAATTCTATTTAGCTTGTGTAGTCATTACATATTGTTAGGTGTCACTCATGGTTTGTGGAAGCCTTGTAAGGTCTAATAACAATTAGCCTTCACTAATAGGGAGAATTAAATGATGGGATTCAATTCATTCTCGATTCAGAAGGAATCGGACTTATTCACTGCCTTTCTAATTAGAACCTATAAGATTGCACACCACAATGGAGTGGATTAAGAAATATAATAGAGAAATAGATTTTAAGCCTTGGTCAAAGTCAAAGGTCAACAGTTGACCGGACACTTTACATGGTCAACAAGGATTGACCAGGATCAATACTTGTAAGACAATTTAACAACTTAATTAATTAAGTAATTAAACTAATTAGAATAGTTTATTTTAAATAATTAAAGTTATTGAACTTAGTTGGGTCCTACATGACTTAAAGAATTAAGAATTGAACCATAGGACTTTAGACATATGTGACACATGGAGGGATAAATGTGTTGGACCAAAAAACCCCAAAATTAGGCCAACCAAAGGGAGGGTGCGGAGATGTGTCACAACATGGATCTATAAATTAGATGTCATAGCACCAATTCATTTAGGGTTTTCAAGTTGGAAAATTGGAAGAGAAGATACATCAAACCTCTCTCTCAAGTCCCCCTTGGCCAACCACTTTGGAGAGCAAGAGCTAGCACTCTTCTACTCTCCCATGTTCTCTATCTCTCATCTCCATCCATCCTTGGTGAAGAGATTTGGTGAGTTGCACACTATTTGAACTGTTGGAGAGCCATAGTGGAAAATCAAGAAAGGAGAGATCAAGCACTCTACTTGAACACCTTCTTAGGGTTCAAGATTCGCTCCAAGGGTAACTACATCTCTAGTCCCCTCTCTTTAAAATAGTTGTAAAGAGTCCATGGTGCAACATTTTATAAGCTTGGAAAAATTTAATGGGGCAAACTTGTTTATCTCTTCGATCTTTTTCTAAATTAAAATTGTATGTTAAACAATTAAAGAAGATATTACTAACAATACCACTAACACTAATAGTCTAAAATATAATGTAACTATTTCAGTTTCACCATAAAATTACTAATATAAATGCCAAAGCCCGTTCCATTTGTGCTATAAAAATTGCATTATAGTTTTATTAATAAAATTAAATGGCTCGTGTTAGAAGAAGAAAAGAAATCGGATGACACAAGTAGTGTTTCATTCCACATTCAAATTTTTACATGCAAAAATTAGATTGTAGATTTATTATCAAGGGTTTTATTTGATGAGCAAAATAGTAAACCATAAGCATTCTTCTAATTTTTCAATAGCATTTCACTACTATTAAATCTAACAAATCATCAATATTCATTAACTTTCTTCTTTCACCATTCATGATTCATGAATCAATTAGGAAAATAGCAAATGAAAAACAACTTAGGGCATGCGATGTGTAGTAGCAACAAAGGGTGGGCAGCAATGCGGCCGGAACAAAAGTGAAAAGAGAAATTGCAAACTAAAATCAACTTAGGGCTTAACTGATAGCATGTCGTTCTGGATTGGGTTTAGATTTTGTTTGTAAGATCGAGTTTAGATTGTTTAATTTTATTACACTGTTGAAACTTGGGGACGAAAACGTTTGTCGTAAGGTCAGTTCCTCATAGGCCCTCTTCTGTAAGGTCAGTTCCTTATAGGCCCTCTTCTGATGGGGCTTATACTGGAATTACGATTTTCGCCCTGCTCCCTCCTCGTATGCTCCTCTTGATAAATAAAAGCATTAAAAATATATATATATATTATATTATTTATATTTATAGTTATATTTATTTTATTATTAAACTTTTCTAATATGATGGCATTGGGATAATTGAGTTTAGGGAAATGTTAGGGAGATCATATTTATAGATCACCTTAACCACTTCTTTAATAGAGGTCGGATTCATTGTATTGGTATGCGTTACCTCTATTAGAGAGGTGGTTTACAAAGTGGTCTAATAATGTGGCCTCTTTAGCATGACCCTTGAGTTCAAGAGTAACCAGAATTTCAAATTATGGGATTTTATTTAAGAAAATAAAAAGAGTTTTAAAGGTCTAGAGTTTGTTATAGCAAAAAAAATAAGATTTAAAAATAATGAATGTTTTATATACAAGTGTTATTGGGGGAGGAGAAAATCAAACGTAAGACCTCAGATGGAAGAATAATGTCCTTAACCACTACACTAGTAGTTCCCTTGTAATAGTGATGGTGGTTATAACTTATAGTAGTGGTGGTCATAATGTTGAAAGGGCGGTGGTCATGGTAAGGGAAAAGTGGTACTAGGAAATGTAATGATGGTGTTGATGGTAGTAATTTTTTTTCCTAAAAAATGATTGTCCTGAAATAATTTTTTTAAGGCCCATTTAATTGGAATTTAAAATAGGAATTTATGACATCCCAAATTATTTTAGACAGAGAATTTTAAAAAATTAAAAATTAAAAATGAGTTTTTTTTTTTAGAGTACAAGCGATTGATAAAGGGAGGTTTACACAAATATTCATTTGGTGCCTTGAGTTTCAAACTTCTGCCCAAAATCCGTCATTTCAAAACTTATGAATTGCGTCTAATTTCAAGTTATCCAAACAAACCATAATTGAAATTTCGGCCTTTTATTAGATTGGAAAACTGACAAAAGCATTAGCGAAAAGTTTAAACGCACAAAGACATTTAGTTCCTATTCTGTATTAATCTACCATCTCATTTATTAATGTGGAGAATTTTCCGTTCCAAGAGTTAACAGTATAAATTCATCCACCAGTTACAGCTGTTGAAAAGCCGCTTGGCTGCTTTTTATTTTTATTTTTTTAAAGTACTCCAAATTATTCTAACATACGAAGAGAATGACTCAAACTCGAAAGCAAGGAGGCTGGCTCACTAGCCAACTGGCTTAATAAAAGTGAACATTAGCAACAAAAGTTAGGCACATGGATTAGACAATAGGCACCAACCACAAATAATCACTATTAAAACCACCCCACAACCACGGCCACCAACCTCTATCACCACCACCTCATGGTTACCCATTTGGGCAGATGGTTGCTCAAATGGGTACCCATTGGGGCATCCCTATAGTCACATACAGCATAACATAATTTAAACCGAGCCAGAGAGAGCATGAGGGCTCCAGCTTCCAAAAATACAAAGATTCATAAACAAACATTTCAATAAAGCGAAAGTGAAAGTGAAAGGAGTGTGACAAACCATTTATATAAATGTCAGCACCCATGTGACGACTTGGTTGTTGGCCCACATGTGGATTTAGCAGAAAAAGCAAACTACAGTACATTACGAAAGCCACCTAAAAGAAAACTTTGATCAAAGGTTATATGAAATCCCCTTTCTACCCTTATATTCGGTGATCATGTGATGCTGCAACATCAGACAGGAACGAACAATCATGACCAAACAAAACAAAAAGGTCAAGGGAAGCCATGGCTTTTTTTCCCCATCCGTATCATACATGCTATAGTGATACAATAATTTGTATACTTGTGAAAAGTCTACTTTAAACTTCTGTCCAAGTTTATGTACAAAAAGCATCAAATACTCTAATGCAAAACTTAAAACACTAGCCAAAATTCACATCAGAAGGAAAATACGATAGAGAAAGAAAAGTGGTGTATATGACTGTAGATAGAAGTTACAATCCTTGTTCTGGTCTAGCCTGTGTGGTGGTCAGCACACCTACAGAGAGGGTACAAAGTAGCAAAAGCGACAAATCCTACTCTCGTAATTTCATTTCGTTTCTCCTTGCGTATGAAATATGTAGTATCGGTTAGCAGTATGTATTGATGACGGTGAGACCTTGTTGCGATCTTCTCTATGGATCTACTCTTTGATGTAGGTATAATTCAGCTATACATCTAGAGGATTTTTCTTCCTTGTATATGCTTCTCTACTCTCCTGCATAGGAACATAACCCAACATAATAAAAAGATTGTTTGATTGCATGACTACAATCCCTAGCAAGGACATCTACAGAGAACAAAATGAATTAGCTATTACCCTAGCAAAATCAATCAGCGTTAATGAGAAGCCATGCAGCTGGCAGAATTGACTGATGATGATGATGATGATTTGTTTTCAGCAGTTATGATGGTATCATTAAGATCTGACACAGCGGTTGACAAGTCAGAGAGATGATCCCCAGCTGAATTTGAGGGAGCAGCAAAAAGGCAATCAGGAAGGACCTGCTCTACACTGCTATCATGACAACCACAAAAACGGAAAAACAATATCTTTATTATTCGAAAATACAAAAGGACCTGATTACAATAGAAGCTCAAACTAGAAAAATCCAGAAAAACAAAAGCACCACTATAGATAAAATCATATAATGTTGTTTGCTATTGTCAACTTTCTCTTGATATGAAAGTTAAGCTCCATACCTTTTCTGAAGATCAGGAGTTTCCAAGTAGGAGCCTTGCTCCTTGTTTTTGCCATTGCCATTATTGTGAATGAAAGCAAAATTATCTTCCTTCTGAAGGTGCTGCTCAGCAGTCACAGAAATTGAGACAGCTGGAATATCACCGTGGCCTGCAACATGTATATTCAGCAGTCAGCAACCCAACACTTCATCTTAAAGTTTAAATATGTATATTAGAACGGTTAAAGTCAATCAGACAACCTTCTGAAACTTCTTGTTTAATGCTATCAAACGGAATGACATTTTGATTGATCTGCACATGAGACTGAGGACTTAAGGGAACATGAGCACCAACAGACAGACTGCGCTGGTGATGGGGTAAGCGGTCATTCTTCCAGTCTGGGAGCTGCAGACTCATGACTCTTCTCCCTTGGAGTTCAATGGCTTGCTGTAATTCGGCCTGCTCCTCCAATTTTCTTCTCAATAGCATCTCCTGTGTACCATAGAACATTCTTCCCCCTAGTAGAAAACAAATTCAAGTAATAAAAAATCAATGAGAATTGTGATGCTGCATTCAATAAAAACAAGAACAATAATATGTATAAATGCACATACGCATACATGTGTGTCCGTGTGCATGTGTGTAGAGAGAGAGAGAGTTTTTTTCTTTTTTAATTGTTAGCCAAATGAGAAGCCATCTTAAAATTCATTTAACCCTATTCTCTTTCAAATAGAGTATATGTAACGAAGAAAAGTATCCAATCTTGTTTCACTAACCAAGTTGGAGATCATAGGGATCTCTAGAATCAAGACCACCAGGGCTCAAAGATTGTGAAAATTCTCCCCTCTCTAGATGCTGTTGTTGCTGTTGCCTCCTGTAGACAATCAGCAGTTAAAGCATCAGTGCAAAGTGAAGAAAGCATAAGATTATATTGTAAAAGAGCAATGATATACATACTTATCCAGGACTTTTCCCTTCTCCTTGTAGGGCTTGACAAGCACACGGGAATCACATATAAAATGAGGATTTCCTTTGGACAATATGAGCCTCACAGTTTCTGGGTAGACAAATGTAACAAAACCAAACATTCTTTTCTGCTGGTATGGAATCCTTACATCTTGAACTGGCCCGTACTTGCTTCAAAAGTACAAAAAGGAACTATTTAATAGAAATTCCAAATTCTGAACCTTTAAACAATATAACAAGAATGACATTATGATATCTTCCCTTGTAATAATACAAAGAACTCCTTTGGTTTGTAACAGTAAAGTTTACTGAGTAAACCCTAGGTAATATTCAAACCACATTTGGCCATCCATTCTTAAAATCAAGTGTTTATGAGTTCACTCAAGATTCAAATATTGTATCACGAGAACTCAAAAATTGTTTTCCTATTATTGTCATATTCACACTGTGACATCCTGTAGGACGTCTCCAATAATCATGCATTGGTGAATTCCAAGGTCGTGCAGTTCTCGTTATTTCAATTTTCTTGCTTAATCTGTATCTAATTTCTAGAAAAGAAAAAAGAAATCATCAATGACTAAATCGTATCATGGCATACCGAGCAAAAATATTTAGGTATGTTATGTGACAGATTCAAACAATGATGTCTCATTGCTAGTGTAAAAAAAATAAAAGGTGAGAGTCATGGAAACTCTTCCAGGAGAGTACTAGATCAGATATATCTTTTGTTGTCGAATGATGGATGACGATACACTTGTATTCACAGCAGAGGACCAATTGAATACTTTAGTGACAATACACAGTAGTATATACACTAGAAGTCAGCAATAACTTTGTGTTCCAATAAGTTGATCGTTGTTGTGGATAATTAATGAAATTAATCATATCGTTAATAAAGGTAAGAGAAACAACCAAACAGCTTTTACAAGTTTAAAATGGCCTTGAGCAAATATACCACAGAAATTCTGCAAATGGCCATCAAAGACACTCAAGATCTTCAGTGTCAAGTTGGAGCAGGTGAAGGGGTCAACACAAAGACTTAGCATTAGCCATCAAAGCCTGTTTAATGTGCTCGTTGCATGATATGGCACACTGTATAAAATTTTACACCTGACTAGCTGACTAGCAGGGCTCTTATGCAAGCATTAGGCGGGGATAGAAAGAGCAATCCTTATTGGTTTAGACTCTTAACAATGTATCCAAATACACAAAGCCAACAATCCCAAAATTTCTTCTCATACTAGCTAACTTATCAGAATAGTAAAGTTACATACGTACCTTTTCATTGCAGCCAAACAAATAGATTTTCATACAAGATGAAATGCAAGCCCATTAAAACCATAGTGGAGGAGCAAAAATATACCTGAACTTCTGAAATTTAAAATTTATTTGTTGGACACACAGATAACTGATATGACAAGGTGGTGCAAACATTTCTCCTATCAGGTGTAACTTAAGCAAAATCACAACCCTTGCTTCTGAATATCCTGTACTTGAAATGCAAAGTACCACTCCCCTAGAAAACCAAACCGTGTATATCAAGGCCAGGGTTACAAATGAAAAAACAAGCAAACTAACGTCAAGGTCTTGAAACGCCACAACCTCTATCCAAGACTTGACCATAAACAATTGATGATGCTTTGGAGGCCTTCAAGGCAATGAAAACCTTGAACAACTTCTTAACTTTATCTTCTGGAAAAAGTTCAAACATAAAGGACTGATGCCACTAAGGCTAGAGACACTCTAAAACCTTGGCATGGTAAGGATTGCCGTTACTGAGTAATTGGTTGTCATGAAAGCTGACCAAAGTGCTAAGGCATTATTATCAAAAATAAAATAAAAAACTATTCTACCAATAATCCGAGTAGCAACTTAACTCATACTGAAGGTTGACCGAAGACTTGGTCCTAATAACAAATAATAAGGAAATAATATGATGTATAATTTTACCAGAAGTATTCTGAAACATCTTCATCTTTAAAAGTGCTCTCAGCTGGGAATGTCAAGTAGATCTGTCTTGAAGCCGAGCTCGCCTTTTCAACTGAAGACATTGCCAAAAGGTCGTTTCTATCAGGTCGACATCGCCCAAACTTGTAAAATTCTTCCCCCATCATCATCGCTGCCACTCTACAATGCAACAGAATGCCACCAACAAAAAAAAATTTGAACCCCGAAAAGAGAAAAAATCAATAACCAACACAAACCACACTTAATGACAAAGAAAATAATCTATAAAGAGCAAAATGGGTTGTCTCCAACAGACTCAAAATCAATAACCACGCCCAAATAAAAGCAACAGCAAACAGAGAAATAGACCACTCCAATATACCTCTGAGGGTCATTTTGCTGTTGCAAAAGGAAATTCATGTACTTGCTGTAAGGAGTAGGTGACACTCCACCCATGAACTGAGAAGCAGCAGCTAATCTCTGTTGCTGAGCAGCCTTCAACCTCATCATCTCCTCCTGCTGCTCGAAACTGTCTATATTACTCGGAGACCCCACAATGGCACCAGAACCGTCCAAGGAATCAGCAAAACCGCCATGCACAAACTTGCAATTGCTTCCGTTCTTGCAAAACCCTCTGGCAAAGTAAAGGCATGGCTTGAACCCCCCTCCCAAAGCAGCATCTTCGGACCCGAGACACGCATCGCTAGCCGAATAGCTCCTTCTGTGGAAATGGGCATCACCATTGTTGACAGAATGAGCCCAATCAGGAACCCCATGACCCAATTCGAGCCGAGGATCGATGAAATCCTCGGGCCTCGACGAGGACGAAGACTCATTGAGAAATGAGAGGTACTCATTGAGTTGGTGCTCGTCAATGAGGTCGCCGCCAGGCCAAACATCACCCCCACCATCCTTGCTGTAGCGGGGTGAATGTACTGGAAGTGAAACTGACCCGGCTCGGATATTGTCGTAAGAGAGTAAAGGGCTTGACTTTGGGCTAATGGAGTTGTTTGGGAAACCAGAAAGTGGCCAGGCATTTGAGGAGGGAGAAGATGGGTTTTTCCCAAAATCAAAACCGTTCGGGATTCTAGGGGAAGACTGTGAAAATGGGTTGGCGTTAGTTGGTCTGGCTATGGGATTTAGCGGTGAAGGAGAGGAAGGTGTGGAAGATGTAGTCGAAGTGCTCGAGCAAAGGCCCAACTGGATTTTAGCCCTCACAATCAGCGAGTGCAAAAGGGTCTCCGGACCATAAGCCAAGCGAATCAAATCTTTCTCGGCAAGATCTTGTATGAGAAGATAACCCATGATTTTGATGGCATTTTCTGGGTCTAAGGCCTTGATCTTAGTGAAGAGTATGTTTGTAACTTCATAGGAACCCATGAGGGGTTTTCTTGGGTCTGCCTCTCTCTGAAAGAGAGAGAAAAACAAGAGAGTGAGAGAAAAATGGTTTTTGGGGCTAAAACAACACAGTTGTTGGACTCTGTATATCACTACTACTCACTCAGTAGGGTTTCAAGTGTAAACAAGCGGGTTTTGCTCAGTAGAGAGTTGGAAAGTCTCTGTCTCTCTCTCCTGTCTCTCTCTCCCTCTCTCTCTCTGGAATCTATCTTTTGAGGGAGACTGGGGAGTGGTAGATTTCAGATCTACTTGAAAGGTTAATTGTCAACAGCACCCCCGCTTGATTGTGTGTGGCTAAATATATATAATTAATTATATATATAAATGTGTGATTACAGTCATAACACTCATCATAACCCTACTTCCAACATGGTCCCACGCACCCTCTTTTTTTAATAACTATTTCAAGAATAAAAAGTATTTTAAAAAAGCATCCAACTTTTATCCCAAAATTCAAATTTTGAATATAAAATCTGTTCGATTTCAGTCAAAGAAAATTGGGTGCTGCAAATTGATAAGTTCTAGGCCAGTTTGGACGGGAATTAAATATTCCTTTTCTTTGGTGGGAGGGAATTAAGTATTTTTTATTTTGTGGATATCAATCATATGATTATATATATTTCTCTTGAACTCCCTCTTGGTGAGCATCTCTAATCAAATTATTTCGTTTGAATTCATAAATTACTAACCCAACTTTTTTTTTATATACACTTTGTTTTAGTAAGTTATATAAAAATATTTTCTATTTGAACCTTACACTTCTCTTAGTTCACCCCATGTTGTAAGTTTACACCAACTTTTAATTTAAATTTTCACAATTTCTAAGAAAACCCCACTATATTCCCAAACTACCCTTAAATACATCACAAACTGAACAAATAAGAACTAAATGAGATTTTCTATTTAAACCCCACAATTTTCTTTGTTCCCAGCAAAAAAAACACACAAATGAAACCCCAAATCCAAAATTTAATACTTTCTAGAGAAAGAAAACAGCTTTATCTCTCTCCAAGAATTGTAACTGGAATTCTAACACTTGGGTACTTTTGAGTTGAGAACTTCATAGAGAGAGAGAGAGAGAGAGAGAGAGAGAGAGAGAGTTTGTAAACAGGAAGTTGAAAGGAGATTTCTAAAACTTAATATGAAGAGTGGTGGGGTGTGTGAGGGTATATGTATAGATGTACTAGGGTTAATTATTAAGTTGAATGACATTTTTTGTCTTTTTACACAATAATAAAACTTACAGCTTAATTATTTAAGTATTGGGAGTGAACAAAGAGAAGTGCGGGGTTTAAATAGAAAATCTCTATATAAATTCATGTGTTTCAACATTGTGTTGAATCTTTGATGAAAAATACTGTGTTGAATAGTTCGTTAAATACAACTTTCATGCAATCATTTTCAATGACTCTTGTTATTTACTATATTGATGGTGTCAACATCTAAAATTATTAGCAAGAGACTGTAAAATGTTTGTAAAATGTTCGTGTCAATGAGATATAAAATGGAAGTTCAATTTTTAGTTACCACATTGTAAAATATTTTCATATGCATAAAAGAATAGAGCTTGACTTAGATTTCAAACCCATGAAAGGGACTAGATTTGGAGTATCGAAAAGAAAAGACCATTCAAATATTTGAGACTAAAAACACAACAAGAGTTAAATGGCCAAGTGGGTTTAAATGTGAAACTATTTATCCTTTATTACATAAAAAATAATAGTCATGTCACATTTATATACCACACCTTTTTAACAGAGATGGACCCATTGTATTGGTGAACTAAACCTATTAAAGACGTGGTATGCAAATGTATATTGGTAGGCTCCATCTATTTTGTCCCCCTTTTTAAAAATTATTTCTTAATTCTTTATTAAAGAAGAGATTATTTCATCTTAAAGAACCCAATACCTAAATATCAAATGAAAAGGATTAGCTAATAAAGTTGCCAAAATCCACTTGCAAACCTAAAACATAAAAACACATGTTTAGTTATTACTAAAAGGATCTTGAGTCTTTGCATTTAGGTCACATGTATTTACTTGCATTTCGTTAAATCTAAGCCACTCAAACAATCTAACGACTGAACACATGACACGTCATCAAACATTTAAGTCATATTATATTATTATATTTTAGTTTTTCAAAACTCATTAAACCCTATCCTTAACGGCATTGAGGATGGTTAGTTTTAACGCAGCATGCTTCTTCTTTTTCTCTAGCGAGCAGACTCTTTCTCTCTGTGAGCGTACTTCTTCTTCTTCTTCTTCTTTTTGTTCTTTAACTTGTTTTCTTCCTGGTATTTGGGAGTGTGCTCTCACTGTCTTCCCACAAATGGCAGCAGACGTCAGTGAAATTAATGGTGACCTAAAGCTTTGGGAGATGATGGCAGAGATATGAAGCATCTTGACCACAAATACAATGCCAGTTCAGGCGTGCTTGGATGATAGGTATCAAGCCTAGGGATTGAAAAAAGAGAAAATAATAGAAAGAATAACATAGAGAGAAAGAGGAAATTTTGCATATGATATTTCAGACTTCCCCTTAATAAGGAGCAGAGACACATGAAAGCTCGAATGAATTTTGGATGTTGGCCAATGCGAGCTTCCACTTGATAAGGACCATAAAATTTGGAGGATAATTTGTGGTTACCAATGAAGGCAAAAGAAGTTTGTCTGTAAGGCTAGATGCGCAAATACACCCAATTGCCCACATTGAATGTTGTCTCTGTACGATGCTGATCAACATACAATTTCATACAATTTTGGGCTTGTATCATGTTTGAACGGAGCATGGACAACAACTGATCCCCTTGTTGGAGAGTTTGTTTCATAAGTTTGCTAATTATTCTGATACTAGATTGTGATGGTGATGAAATAAAGCCAGCGAATCCTATCAATGGATAACCCGACCTTGATCACTTCATGGAAATTAGTTAAAATTGATCCCTAATAAGCCATTATTCACATCAATTACTAACTCAACCTAATCTTCCTCGCTTTATAACAAAATAAGAAGGCCCAATTACCATAATTACCATGAAGAAACAAGTTAAAGAAGAAAAAGAAGAAGCATTCTCTTAGAGACAAAGTCCGCTTGCGGGAGAAAGAGAAGAAACGCGCTCGTGTTAAAACTAACAATCCTCAACACTGTTAATGATAGTGTTTAATGAGTTTTGGAATATTAAAATAAAATAAAATAATCTGACTTAAATGTTTGATGATGTATCGTGTGTTAAGTCATTAGATTGTTTGAGTTGCTTAGATTTAACGAAATACAGGTAAATGCACAGGACCTAAATGCAAAGGCTTGGGATCGATTACTAAACTATTGCATTCTTGTAATTTGATCAAGAAATTTATAATACAGAGGTGATAAAATAATTTTGTTTTCTCAATATTTATAAATCTCATTATAATGTGGTGATTAGATCCCATGTGAGTATTGTAAGAGGATTTTTCTTTTTGGTCTATTGAAAGAGACAATTAAACAATACAAAACTTCCTCTCATATTATTAAGGAAGGGGGGAGGAGGGAGCGGGGTAACTTTGTTTCTATGAACATATATGTGTTTATATTCTATCAAAATTAGTATTGTGTTTGTTCCAATTTGAAAGTTTTTTTTATCTTAAGTATTTTCACATGTATATGCTCCACTTTGGTGCCTTGAATTGGATTAGATAAGACAACTCCTTAAATTTTAAGCATGTTGAAGGAAGAAATGGAAATTTTTTCACTAAGTTGAAGGTAGAAGATGCATTACTCATGAAGAAAAACTTATCCTATCTAATCCCCACAAAATTATAAGATAGAACACCTTATAGAGAAAAAAGATGGAGAATGGAAGTGAGAATGAGAGTGGAGATGGGATTGAGATGGAAGATGAGAGAGGGGGATGGGTGGGAGGAGTAACAAAAGTGAAAACAGAAACTAAAAATTGAATTTTTTTATATATATTTTTTTCACTTTCAAGTTTTTGTTTTCACTTTTGTTACTCATTCCTCTCATTCTCCCCTCTCATCCTCTCTCTCAATCCCATCCTCACTCCTATTCTCACTATCATTTTTCTTTATACTCTAGTATAAAAAATGAAAATTAATTCATGTCATTGCACTTTTTCTTAAAAGAATATAAAGTGACTTCTCTCTCTCTCTAGCTACCGCTCCTATCCTAACGGGGGGAGAAGGTCATTGTCTTTCCTCCTCATTCCTTCTTTCTCCTTCCCTATCTTCTCTCCTCCTCTTCATCGCTCTTTTTCTCTTGCCTTCCTTTAGGATTTTTTGGTTGCACTTGTGGCTTTTTGCTCTAGTTTTTTGTTGCCCCAAATCCCTTTAAATCTCTTTCACCTTGTGTTGCCTCTTTGTTTTACGGCTTTGTCTTGGTTGTGTTTGGGTTCTTCTTGCTTGCATTTTTTTTTGTAGTAGGTTTTTGTGTGGCTGCAGTTTTCCCCTCAACCTAGGCTTCGACGGTGGTGTTCCTGTTTTTCGTGGTGGCGATGGCAGCAACTATACTTTTTTGTCATCTCGGTTGGTTTTGCAATTTTTTGGGTTGTAATAATTACACCTTTTTGTGAGTTAGGTGTTCTGTTTCAAGTTGAGTCTTTACTCGTATTTTTTACTTATGAGAGTTTAAAAGTTATAGTTGTATTGGTAGTTTTGGCCGCTACGGTGCATGTCTGATTTGTTCAGACTTGCGGCTTCATGCTGAAATTTGTTTGGCTTTATGCCACTATTAGTAGAGATATACCTTGTGGTGTATTTCCCTATATCTGGCATAACCATGCGTGGTTCCTGTGCTTCCACATTTGTATTAATCATTTTTGTGTAGTTTATGCCCTTGTTGCTGATGGTCTTCGTGGCTAAGTTATGAATAAAATTATTGCTTACTTTAAAACAAATAAAAACTAAAAACTAAAATTAAAATGGTCATCAAATGGGCCCTTAATTAATGAATTTTATTTTAGGATTCGATGAGCAACTCAATACATATTGATTAAGAAACAAGCACTTTGTATATCATTTTATTAAAAAAGAATAACCCAGCAAACAAAATACAACAACAACGCAATTTGAGACACAATTAACTAATATATCTACTACTATAGACATATTACGTATGGAACAAAATTTAATAATAAAAACTAATGTTGATGATAAATATAATATTTCAACCACGCACCTACTGGATTAAATGAAAATCCAATCCATTTGTTGTGCATTTTGATTGCTATGTTATCTATATTAGGTAATTACTTCAACAAATCATCCCCAGTTAG